CGCCCCCCCCTGCTGCTCCACAACCACCCGCCCCGGCCGGCCCCCCCCGCCACTTCCCCCTACCTTGACTATACAGGGGCGACATATGCTCAGTACTCTGCGGCTGCCGCGACTGCTGCGGCCGCTGCAGCTGCCTACGAACAGTATCCTTACGCCGCCTCACCTGCACCAACAAGCTACATGACCACGGCAGGATATGGATATGCTGTCCAACAGCCGCTAGCCACCGCTGCCACGCCGGGAGCGGCGGGGGGAGCAGCCTTCAGCCAATACCAGCCTCAGCAGCTGCAGACAGACCGTATGCAGTAAAAGCATTAAATTGCCTTAAAAGGGAAAACCAGGGGCAGTTACCTTCTCCCATGAGGAGAACATAGAGTGGAGTGCAACTACAGAAGACGTTAGCTGTCACTCCTAGGTTTTATACATAGTCTGTATATAAGAAATGGATGTAACTTCCAGCTTTGAACTGCGGTTGCAACCCTGAGGTCACCAAGTAGAATAGAAATGCTTTGGTAGTTTTGAAAGTCATTCTGAATAAGTTAAAGGAGTTAACTACAGCTTCTAACCAAACAATGTCACATTATTAAAAAAGCATTCCCCATTAACAAAAGCTAATAGGGAATACTAGCAGCTTGTGGGCTAATTGTGGCCACCCAGTCTATTACAAGCAGATCTGCCACTTGATATTTATTTCGAGAGAATCTGGCCTTTATCGTGACTCATAGAGCCAGTAATGGCCTGCACTCACTGACATGACAGTTGTCCCAGCGATGCCTTCAGTGTCCTAGGGGGGGAAAAGTTGCAGCACTCTGAACACACTATTTCACACTTGGAGCCTCTCTGTTGTTGCGTTCTCCTGAGTTTAAAAGCAAATTGGCTTTATAGGTTTTTTGGGCTACTCACAAAGTAATTAAATTATTAAATCTGGCACAGTCTGTGGTTGAAAGGTGAAGACACTACTGTTTGAAGCCACTTAAGTTGATTTGGACCAGGGGTGCCCACACTTTTTTGTTATGGGAGCTACTTTTCGAATGACCAGGTTCAAAGGATCTACCAAGATTGTGTTACTGATTAAATACATGTAGCTCTAAGGCTAATATAATTCTTTTTTTTTTTAGTATATTGTCACTACTACACTCCCTTTGTGATCTACTGGTAGATCCCGATGTACTTATTGGGCACCCCTGATTTAGAGTAAATGTGGCTCAGATACTTCATAAGAATCATTGACAGTTGTCTGGCAGTGAGCATAATTTAAGAAATTGCTAAATATGTTAATTGTAAATAGTTTATATTAGGGCGTTCAGAAAAGTATTTATTTACTTATTTCCTAAAGTGGACTTTATTTAAATGCTACAAAATATTGAGCTCCATTTGATCAGAGACACATCCATAACTAACGGAGCTGCTTCCTATTTACTCCAGCAACCTACCTTTTGCCACCATTTGGCTGCATCTGTTTCCTATATACGGTCTATGGTTTGATCTTAGCAGTCCTTCCACCAAAGAGCCTGATGAAAGACCCCATACACATGCAGGTAAATTGCTGCGTACTTATACTCAGGCAAGATCAGTATTTTGTCAATCTTGAATTTACATTATTATTTAATATTTATTGAGCAGTAAAATACTATTTAAGATTCATCAAAATACACGCGCTGGACCTCATCTTGACAATTTTCACTATTGTTTGTACATATTTCTATTAGTTAGTTTCTTTTAAAAAAATAATAAAATTCAGTGTATGTCTTATAATCAGGTTTTCTTCCCTATCATTTGAGAAACGATCGTTGCGTACATACGTAGAGAGCAGCATGTTATCATCATCATGCCGTTTTCAGTATTTCATAGTTTTGGACCAGTACTTTGTTTGGTAAAGCTATGCACACATTTCTAGAGCGATTTAGTTAGGAATATTTTTTTATTTTAAGTAACTGTGTGGAGTGAGATAGCGTAGACTTCCTCAAGTTGTTTCTTAGATATTTTTTCTTATGAGGACACAATGCTGGAGCCCTCACTTTTCCCTTTGACTGCAGCTCAACTAAACTCAGCAAAAGGGAATGTAATGTCTTTGAATGTGAATCTCTGGCTATAAAAAAAACCCACTCACAATGTGCCTTTTAAATTATGCTATTTATGTATTTATTATGGAGCCTTAGAGTAAAAGTAAACTCTTTATTTGTGTTAAATTGTCACTCCGAAACCCATTGGTCCTCACACACAGGCTGCTGAATTTCTCATGATCAGGAGAGTATGTGGGTAAAGGATGTTTAAACTTGGCTTAAGAACAGAAATTTGAGTGGGAAAAGTAGCAATAACTCTTTTTGGGTTTTTTTCGGTAGATTTAATGTTGTCTAAAATATAGCCTTTATTATTTAATGTCTCTTTTTATACTTGACCAGTTTGATAAAGGACAGTGTGACCACTGTTTGGACGTTTTAGACTTGTTTCTTTTTCTCTTTTTTTCTACATTTAATGTTGTTTGACATTGAATGTCTTCCATTGCAGTGGCATCACTGTTTACCCTGCAGTTTCTAATGCATGACTGACAAATGATGCAAATATTTAATATGTGAAATAAAAATATAAAATCACACTCAACATCCAGCTCTTTTGTTTATTTTATTTGGGTTTTTCTTGGTGACTCTAGTTCACTGGATAATGCAGCCCCTAAAATAGAAGGCCGAAGGTCAAAACTCAACATAAACAATCCACTTTCTTTTTCATCAGAGGATTTTAGACTCTGAAATAGATTTAAAATTTTAATAATAATAATACAATTAAATCAAACATGGGAGATTCTTTTTCTATTTGGTTTACAATTATTTTCTGATTTTCAATATTATCTGAGGTGCCTACTTACAAAGTAAATTGGTGATTAACAAATTAAATTAAACAACCCATTTTGGTTTCCTCCTCTGTGCTCTTTTTAAAAGTCCTCAAGTCCTGAACCGCCCTCCATGCTCTGCGGAAGCCGTTGAGCGTTCACCTCTTTTCCGATAATTTACGTCGCCTTCTTCTTCTACGTTACGCGTCAACACGTAATACAATGGAGTAACAGCGCTGCATTTACGTACATTTTGTGAAGTTGGACACCCTGTTTTTTCGTGCCAAACTCCAAAAATACGTCTGTTATTGGACACCCTGTTTTTTCGTGCCAAACATGCGTGAATATGCGTGTCAGTAACACGACTGCGATAATTCTGTTACCATGAAGATCCTATGATTTGCGATCTGGTGATTTATGACAATACAGTGTAGCTTACGTGCAAGTGCGGATACGTCCACCTTTCAAGACTGCCCACTTTACGTTTCATCCTACATGCGTGAATACGTTGTTAGGTATTTGATTAAAATTTATATTTTGTTTATAATCTACCCTTTTTTATCACACACGGTTTGTGTTTAAGATAACAAGCGTATTTTAAATGCGTTGGAAACGATTTTATAACCGTGTCAGTATGATTGAAGGGGTCCGTGAAGGCAACGCAATCATTCCGCAACCTTGGGGGCAGGGGACGGTGTACTGGTTTCCTGTGAGTTGGTAACCATAAATAAGTGTGTATTTTTTCGAAAGAAAGACGTTTTTCCTCGAGAGGAAGCCCCGTGGGATTATCATCTGACTGTAAATAATGTAGGTAATATCCAGACACTGGTTTTAAAATTGATATCAATTTGTTGTATTTTCTATGGAGCTAACGTTGTGCTTTGGCAGCGAACACTGGTTGTATTTTGCCGTTACCATTTAAATCAGCAATAATGTTACACGTGTATTTTACTCTATTATTTATCATTAATTGAATTCTTGACAATTATCAAACCGAATATGGTCTACTTTGGTTATATTTATTTTTCATGGCTGTAAGTGACATTCGTGGCCTAAAACTAGCCGGAGAATCTCGCGAGTTTCAGGGACTGGGGACAAAACAGCAGCTAAAGCCGCTGGGAGGTCGATATTGAAGCCAAGAATATTTGGTAAAAATCAAGTTAAATCAGCCTTGGAACAAGATTAGATCGACTAGGGACAAAACGCAGTTTGGTTTTAGTCAAGATATGTACAGGTAAAGTGTGGTAAAATGCTTCCTGTTCGGATTTCATTTTGACAATATACTGCGTGTTGTTATTGTTGTTTCAAAGCACAGTCGTATTCTGTGCTTTGGAAAGAAAAACATGATTTTTTTTGTTCTATAAATACATAAATCCATTCTAATAGCTTATAATGGTTCACAGTTAGTATATGATGCTGTGAAGCTCTTTACCGTAACTAGGATTTATTCAGTGGAAATATTTACTTGTGGAAAATAAGGCATATAAATGACAGCATTGGTAGTCAAACGATGGAACATGTACCACCAGTGTACCACAGGGGAATTTTGTTAAATATAGACGTTGTTGCTTGTTGTGTGTGCAGTGCTCCCACATTGTTCCTGTGGTTTTGGTTTTGCAGTGATATTTTCGCTTTATGTTTCCCAGATGCTTTCTTGTTTTCTTACGTTATCTGACAGTGTGTAAAACTGGTTACAGAACCACACTGAAATGCAAAAAACAATTCTTAATCTAGTAGCATAATTTACAGAGATGGAGCCATGACTTATACTGAGATTTTACAAACGTAAGTGTGAACATAGTTACTTCCCTCATATAACTGATCTGTATTAATCATGATTAATTGTGATGAACTGGGTGAAAAGAAAGTCTGGCTCAAACTCATATCTGCCCCTGATGAGGGATCACAGACTACAGGCCTTTATTCAGAACACTAATGATGCTAATGATTTCGAGGTTAAGTAAAGCACAGTAAATGGATAACGCTCGTGTGTTCAGAAATGCTCGGCTAAAAACGGCCTCACGGTAATAAAACAGAGAAATATAATACCTGGTATTGACATATCTACTGTATATCTATGATTACTTTGTTGTTCGAAGTACTTCCAAAGAGTTTTGAATCCATTACATCCCATTTTAAAATCACCTGTTACTTCTGCTTCGTGATGTGTCACATTAACCTACATCTCCCTTTCCAGAAGTGTTTCTGTGAACAAAGTCAGTCTCTGAACCAGAGATGACCACAGAGAAGATTGAATGGTACCCAGTCCCGGAGAGCCCCCCTCCTCCGTACCCCCCAGGGGAGCCAGCATTAAACATGAACATGCCAGGCCCCAATATGTTCGCAGGGCCTGCTCCTGGTGGTCTGCCGTTCCCTCCTCCTACTGCTTTTGGGCAAGGTATTCCCGGTGGTTTTGGGATGCCTCAACCCTCAAACCCTCAAGGAGGCATTGGATTTGGTGTGAATCCATCATCCCCTCCTTATTCTCCACCCATCCAGAACTTCACGGATGGTCAGTATTTTCTAATAGTACCTTGTGTAGTAATTCATTAACTGACAGAATGAGTTGTGAAAAGTGAAGGTTTTCGGGTGCTGTCATTGCAGATGATCTTTATCCAAACCGGGATGATCCACCTGCCTTCAATGAGAACCAAGACTTTGACTTTGGATTGGACAACAAGACCATAAGACGAGCATTTATTCGCAAGGTGATAATCCATAGTTTGAGTGTCAGGTGTTTGTGGTTCTAGTGACAACATTTACCTTAAAAAATAAAACATTGTGTTTTATTTTTTGGGAAAAGACAACATTTGTCATGAAAAATTTCCATTCATAATTAATACTTTATTATGCACCAGTAGAATAACAGAGCAAGGAGGTGTTTTCCTTCTTTACCACATGTGTATGAATCATGTTATTAAGTACAAATAAACTGGTTCACTGTTTACATCTTTATCTTATTTTGGTTAATTCATTTCTCTCCATTTCAGGTTTTCCTGGTCTTATCAGTTCAGCTGTTGGTGACGTTTGCCTTTGTGGCTGTTTTCACCTTTGTGGATGAAGTGAAGGCGTTTGTCCTGGTGAACCAATGGACCTACCTTGTCTCCTACGCTGTGTTCTTTGTGTCGGTGTGCGTGATCAGCTGCTGTGGAAGCTTTCGCCGTAAGCATCCGTGGAATCTGGTCGCACTGGTACGTCTGCTTAGATTTTGTTTTCCCAAAATAGGAGGAGTGCAATGATCACAATGTTGACTGACTTCTGATTACATCCTGGGAAAAGACAAACATATTTTCCCTTTATCTAGAAAATGAAATAAATTATCCTACAAAGGCCTTTTCTTCTCTCAAACATGTGCAAAAGTGTTCATATACAGTCTCTCTTTGTTCTGCTTTTCCCTTCAGTCCATCCTGACTCTCAGTTTGTCCTACATGGTGGGAATGATCGCCAGCTTTCATGAAACTGACTCGGTGGTGATGGCTGTGGGGATCACGTCAGTGGTGTGCTTCACCGTAGTCATCTTCTCTCTGCAGGTCTGTACTTGTGTCAGCTCCCTCCCCTCGTCTTTCTCATCATCACGTAAATGAACCAGAATATCTCTGCACTTCCTTCCACAGACCAAGTATGACTTTACTTCCTGTCACGGAGTGCTTTTCGTCTGTCTGGTTGTGCTGATCTTCTTTGGCATCCTCTGCATTTTCATCCGTGACAATATACTACACATTGTGTATGCTGGACTGGGAGCCTTACTCTTCACCTGTGTAAGTCCAGTCTCTTCTGCCCGGTAATGGTGACAGTGATGACAGTGAGCACACTCAGGCTTCCCATAGGTGATTGTATTTGATTAGGTCACAATGTCTGATATATGACAGACAATGATGTCTGTTGATCTGGGTGTGTGACAGAGGGTTAGAGTATCCTACTCAACTTAGATTTAAAGGCAGGTAAGCTTTATAGTAAGCTCTTTATATGTTATTAAAAATCAGGTTTTATGATAAAATGACATTTTTTCATTCCTAAAGTAAGGCTGGTTGATGTGATAATTACAAGTTGTACCACAAATTACTATAATGTCAGCAGTTTGTTTATCTATCTATCTATCTATCTATATCTATATATATATGTATTGTGTATGTGTATATATATATATATATATATATGTATATATATATATACATATATATATATATATATATATATGTGCACCATCACTCATTCTTTTTTTTACTTCTGTACTTTTTTACTTCTTTTTACTTCTTTTTTTTACTTCTGTGTCTCAGTTCCTGGCAGTGGATACGCAGCTGCTGCTTGGCAACAAGGAGTTGTCCCTGAGTCCAGAGGAATATGTCTTTGCTGCTCTCACACTCTACACTGACATCATCAACATCCTCCTCTACATTCTTGCCATCATTGGAAAAGCAAGAGGAGGCTGAGCAACAGGAGAGTGGCTCTGGTTCTGAAGTATAAATGTTAATTGTCATAAGCTTGATTTCTCTTTTTGTCTTGTAGTGTGCACCAATCACATAAATGTTTTTAACCCTCTGGAAATGTTAATTTCCTAGGATATTATACAGTTTTTTATTTTGTAGTTTTGATGACTTTTACCTGCTGTATAAAATATTTCTTATGACAGAGGAATGTTGACCAATTCAGTCATAACTCAAACTTCACTAACTTGCCCCCCAAACACAGTTTTTATGTGTAACATATTTTGTGTTGAGTTGATATGGAAGTTAGATTTCCCACCTGTTATAATTAGCTAAATAGTTATAATTTGAATCATTCCACCTTCAGTATTTCTTGTTGAACACCAACACAGTCTTTGGTAAATACAGACACACTGCAAATGTCTGGATTAGACCATCTGGTTTGCTTTTTCTTGTTGACTCAAATCCTGTGCCAAGAGAAATTGTTTAAGCCTAACTAGTAAGTCAGCTTTGTTGGAAACTATTAATGACCAAAAATACATAAACTGAATTGTCTGCTAGAGGTTAAAAAAATCCAGTAAGTGCACTTTGAGGTGGGACTTTTGTCCAACTACTGTTACAGAATGGAAATACATTTTTATAGTTTAAATGTGTGTTCATCATGTCGTATTCTTTCTTAAATTTAATTGTAGAATGTTGGTCAGTTTTGTTTTTGGTGTTTTCTTCAGTGTCATTTGTGAATCCGTTTGTGGTCCAAAACTTCAACCTCCGTGTTGAACTTAAGCAAAAACAAATGCTGTAGAGATTTTTTAAACAATGATCAAATTTAACAACATTTGCAAGGGCATGTTGCTTTTGAAAAATCAGAATCTCCAACCTCTTAAATGGTAGTCGAATGAGAACGTGCTGTAGGTTCTTTTCTTCGCCAGTAGATGGCAGACGCGATTCAGTTGAGCTGCTACGAAGGGAACTTGGAACCATATGGTTTGGATTTAGTTCAACAACATATGAATAAGACCGAAACGGACGCGCAGGACTTAGCTTTGTAAATAACATTTTTATTTGAATGATATTTGGAATTTGTAAAATTTTAGTGTTCCCTGGACGCCTCACCACTAATTCTTGAAACAACGTTTCAGAACACACTGCCATTATTTTCTATGAGAGGAATGAACTATGGAGAAAATACTATACACTCGAAGATAAAGATGCTTTTGTTGTCCTTGCATGAGTCACATGCAGTGGATTTAAGTGTCTCTTTGCTTAGAAATAACCACAACGATTACGTCAATGTATATGCTTATGCCCACATCTCCCTCCCTATAGCATTCTCTCCTCTATATACCGGTAATGGCGTATCGCCAGGAGTAAAACATGAATAAAAGTTTTTTAGTGTACTAAAATCTAAAAAGTCAGCAGCAATGTATCGCCAGGAGTAAAACATGAATAAAGGTTTTTTAGTGTACAATCTAAAAAGTCAGCAGCAAAATAGAAGCTTGCTTATATTATATATAGTTTTGTTACTGTGTAACATAACGCTAAAGATCTGCCATCAGAGGCCCGTGTACATTGATAGCCAATCGACTCACATACCTGGACTGAAAACCCCCTTAAGAATAACCATTTACAGAGAATGAGCCTCAGGAAAAATGCTTCAGGAAACTGATGTCAAACCTGTTTAAAACTAACAAAGTCAGGATGGTATCTACAGTATAAACAAAGGTACACAACTGGCTTTTAGGATGTTGAGTTTGTTTTAGTCTGCAAAGTAAGTTATGTCTGTGTGCAGAAATGTAGCTTTTAAAAACTACAAAGCCTATAAAATACAGGATATACTTATTTTAATGAATAAGAATAAAAGAGAATATCATTGTCATTAACTGTGTTTACGTTGCTGCATATTATCTTTGCAAGATACCACGGTGTTGTTGGGAAATTTCAATTCATTCGCTCAATGTATCGACAAAACCTGACAATTGTGATTCCGATTGTAATCGTACAGGATGACAATCCACAGACAGGGCAACTCAGGTGAGGTCACGTGACAGGCGGACCGTGCCGACGTGACGTCATCGTTAGGGTGTGTCTTAGAGACAACGCAGTGATCCGCTTACAGGAGGCAGAACGGACTGTATTGATCTAGATATTACGTTAAAATCCAGAGATAATGTTGATTTCTTAAAATCCTGTTTGGTCTCTTGAATTTGTAAGAAAAAGACGTGATGCAACGCAAACTTCTGGACTTTTCCGGTTGGTTTCACTCTGAGGTAAGAGAACTCCGCGTTAGCTCAGTTTTCTGAGTTATGTTAGCGTAACATGCGTAAACCGCACAGGTGACAGCGTTCATCACACTGTTCACACACTGTTCCATCAGCGTACAACATCCGAGGAACAATGAGGAAAACAGCTCAAAGGATGCAAAGATGTAACATGGGTGGACACCAGCAGTTGCATTAGAGTCTAAAGTCCCGCTGTGTAGCTTATCAAACAAAAAGAGTTAGCTGAGCTAATATCTACACAACCTTTAGAGCAGAGACTTCAAACACGGACTTGGATTCGAGCACAGATGTAAACATTAAACATAGACTACATACAAAGTTCCTGTAAAAGTAAAGTAAAAAAAAACAAAAAACTTTAGTGGCTCAAAACCTTGGGGACTGGAGTTCCTTGACTCTGAGTTTGAATCAGTTAGTCAGTTTGACCGGGATTATATCGTTGCTTTTAGGGAGGACTCACTCACTGATGTACTGTTAGTTAAAAACAAAGTAATTACAAATGTTTAATAATTGACCTTAGTTGGAGATTCTGAAAAAATACTTAATTATTTAATGCAAGTTATGAACATGTATCATTTGATGAGTGTAGTATATAATTATCCAAACCATATATTAATTACTTCACATAAAGTTATTGATGTACGATTTAAATATTAAAATGTCAAAATCTAAACATATGCAAACAACAAAGTCAGTATTTGAAAACACAGGCGTGGTATTCAGTTTTTTTTGACGTCTTATTTGCCTTTGGTTTGCACACTGTTCAGTTGTTGATAACTGAATTAGGAGCTATTCACACTCGCTCACTTTAAGGTGATATTTATCTGTTGTATAAAATGCATCCATCAGTCTGATGGCCACACTGCCTCTGGCTTTACTATTACTCTTGTCAGTTGTTTCTTGTTTTCTAAAAGCAGTTCACACTGAGGTTTTCTGATCTGCTTGTTCAGACATGAAGTCGTCATGACTTAGGAGCCTGGTATTTCACTCAACCTTGTCTGTGTTTGCTAATGCAGGAAGGACGGAACCTTTTAAAAGACATTCTGTCTCTTTCTCCATCTCCAGTGTCTAGGAGTTGAACTCATGTCAGCGATGAGTGTCCAGGAAGAAGCCCTAATGTTTTTAACAGGCATTGCTGCCTAGAACCAGGTCGGGGTCATGGCTCTGCAGTTGTCTCCCTTCCCTAACTGCTGTGCCGCAGGCCTCCATGCTGTGGGTTGGGCTCTCATCTTGCCCTGTTTTTGGTTTCTTGATCGCGTCATTGCTGTGTGTAAGTCCACTACCCTTGAGCAAACCGGGAGGGTGGAGGAGGAATCTGCATCCCCTCAAGGTCTTCTTTGGGTCTATTCTTTTTTTTATTCTTTTTCTGGCCACAGCCCCCTTGGCCTTTCTGGGCTTTCTTCTCTGGGCTCCCCTGCAGGCCTGCCGCAGACCCTTCTACTATCACTGGGAGGCGCCTTCCTCACCGGAGCAGGAGTCGCACAGAGGCTTTGAACTGGAAGGAAAAGCTTCGTTTGGCTTTGCCACGGCCAATCTGTGTCTTCTGCCCGACAGCTTGGCTCGCTTCAATAACCTAGGGCACACCCAGCATAGGGCCACTGCCATTGGTCAGCGTGTCATGCAGGGAGTGTGTCAACCCAATATCCAGATTTTTGTCGACTCCCCCAGCAGCTCCGGGGCTCTCAGCTTGTCCACTGCCACAACCCCCACAGCTGCAGGTAGACACACTCAGAACTTTGTAAACCAAGGATCAGATGAAGGAGCTGATCCTTCAGTCTCAAACCCTGGAAGTCATGTGATCTCCGTGGCCTGTGATGATGCAGTTGATTCTCCTTCACCTCTTTTAAATTCCAATCAAAACTCAAACCAGGAGGATGGAGTAAATCATCAAACTGCTCCAGGAGCTTTCCCCTCCCAGGGTCTGCACCAGCAGGACCACGTACCCTGGGCAGTTTCTTCAATGTTTCCTGCCAACGTGGATATACTGTGCCTGGAGGAAGTGTTCGACAAGAGGGCAGCGAAGAAACTAACAAAAGCACTGAGACCCCGGTTTGGACACATACTGTACGACATTGGTGTGTATGCCTGCCAGCCGCCATGCAGATGTTCCTCTTTCAAGTTCTTCAACAGTGGACTGTTCCTGGCCAGTCGATTCCCAGTGCTGGAGGCCCAGTACCACTGGTTTCCCAACAGTGGTGGAGAAGATGCTCTGGCGGCCAAGGGCCTCCTCTCTGCAAAGGTACATCAACCAATGTCACATATGTTGAAATCTACCAGTTGCTACTGTAATTGTGCTACTGTGGTTGTTTCACTACGTTATTTTGTTTGATTTAAAGGTGCTAATTGGTCAGAATAAGAAACAGAGGAGAGTGGTTGGCTACTTTAACTGCACACACCTTCACGCACCTGAAGGTAGATTTGTTATTTCTTTCCACTTACTTACTCACTCTACATACTACTACTAGTATACAGAATATTGTAGTTACCCTTTTTTTTAAAGTTGACTTTGTGTTATCCCACACTTTTCTATCTTTCGCCCTCAGGTCAGGGTGAAATCCGCTGTGAGCAGCTGAACATGGTGACCAAGTGGATTGGGGATTTTCAAGCTGCCAACAGAGACCCTGATGAGGAGGTTGTCTTTGACGTGCTCTGTGGGGATTTGAACTTTGACAACTGCTCACCTGGTGTGTTGTCTGTTTGTGCTTCTGGCCACTTTGATCGCACGGGTTTTATGAAAACATACAATTCACACAAGTGTATTTTTTTGTGTGTGTTTGTTTAGATGACGCCCTTGAACAGAATCACTGTCTGTTTGAGGAGTACAAGGATCCTTGCAGGGCGGGGCCGGGGAAAGAGAAGCCTTGGGTCATTGGTTGGTTGCATTTCAGTACATTAAAGTGTTGGGGACAGTGGTTTGAAAGTGTGGTTGTACAGTATGATGTATTGGCCAATAGACAGGAACAGCATCAGGCAGGAAACCAGTCTGAGGTGGAGATGTGGATTCTTTTTGAAGCATAGCAAGTGGGGACACAAGAAAAACAGGTTTTTGAGAAAATACAACCTTTGGTCTGTAAGATAAGATCAGAACTTTACAGCTACATGAGATAACAGTTCTCACCCTTCTGCTTTATATGCAGTTTTTATTTTAATAATTTTCTTCTAAAGGTACTTTACTGGAGCAGCCTACCTTATATGATGATGATGTAAACACTCCAGAGAATCTACAAAGGTACAATTCAGTTCTATTCTTTAGTTTACCGACAGAGTAATTTAATGTGAACAGCAGTATGACATATTTTTTAATTTGTTCTGTAGGACCTTGGAAAGCGAAGAGCTTAGAAAGCAGTACATTTCTCCTCCTGTCCCGGCAGAGGGCTGTCCGTTGGTTTACCCCAGTGTCGGCCAGCCGTGGGTCGGACGTCGAATCGACTATATCTTGTATCGGGAAAACTCCATTTCAAAACACTGTCAAACAGTATGTGTCTCTTTGTGTTTGTCTACCTTCTCATCAGTCATTTCTACCTTCTCTTATGCGTCTGTCTGTGTGAATGTACAAGTACCTGCAGTGAAATTACACTTTGTTTTTGTCTTCATCCAGGAAATTGAAGAGTTGACCTTCATCACCCAGCTGGCTGGCCTAACAGACCACATACCAGTGGGTTTGAGACTGAATGTAATAATGGACCCAGTGCATGATGACGTATAACCACAATGTGAACACAGCCTTACATTTAATCAAAGGGAACTATATGTACAAACTAGTTATTTACCTGGTTTCTGTTCAGGTACTATCTATTGTTGACCTACTCGTGATTTTAATGATGTTGTAACGACCACAAAGGTTTTACCTCAGGATTATTGAAATTTTATTCCAAGAGAATTTTAAGACTTGGTTTAGCCATTGTGTTATTTATAATTACAATTATAAATGTTATTATACGGAAAAAACATTCTGCATGTTTTACTATGCAAAGTTTATTATTTTGTTGCTGCAGATGAGAGAGATGTCTCCAATACTCAGGGTTCAGGTATGTTCACTGCTCCAATGGAATATTTTTTTCCCTTGGTGTCATTCTTCCAACTTAATTTATGTCTTAATTTCTTTGTCAGTCAGAGTTGTTCTGTGGCAATCTCAATCTCCACGTTACATTCTTTTTTTCTCACTATGTGTCTTACACAAGAGTCAAGTGAATGAGAGCGAGTGCAAGCCTTATATTATATAGGTTATAAGAGACAGGCTACATGACATTAGCTGTTTCAACAGATGTTTTTCAGTGACAACATCTCCTGAAAAATGACTTGATTACATTGTTGGTCAAATATTTGCCTTAATGCTGTCAAATAAATGTATTTGTTGTACTTCATCTCAGTTTATGTACTCATCTATTTCTTATGTGAATTTACTTTGTCCTATTTTTAAATTGTTGTCAACAGCAGAAGTGATGTGATGGAAGCCTGTGCTTTTCTTAGCCCACAAATAATAAAAACTATTATAATATTTTTTATCTACATTCTATTATTTCCGTTACGTAAATAACTCCTACATGGTTATCGTTTTAATACAAAATACAATTTTGAAGCAGCTTAAGTTATGTGGTGTAATACCGCTAGTGAACGATGGGACGCGTTTCTCTCTTTCTCAGGCAGGACCCGGCAAATATCGAAGAAGTCAAATAAAGATCGTCACTTCCTGTTTTTAGCTTAGCTGTTGGCTCACAAACACAAACGCAGTGATGATCGGAGGAGTAAAAATGCCGAAGGTCGTCTGCCACAGCTACAGGGTACTATCATCTGTGGTGAAGAAGAACATCTCACTGAGACACACGGGCGTTTTTAGAAGAGACTGTTCCGTTTACACACGTCAGTGTCGACGCTTGTCTTCACCTTCTCGTACGCTAGCTTCAGCCTCATGTCTGCAGCGGCCTCACGTTTTGACCTACAGTGTAGACACAAGAAGATGCTTCTCAGATGGTTACAGTGAAACAACAGAGGAAACACAGCAAGTGGAGAGCGAAAGCAAGATCTCAAGTCAAAGTAAACTGGCACTTTTGTTTCTTTAGGCTTTGGTTTTAAGTCTTCTGCAGTAATGATCTTAATTTTAATTAATTGAACATTTAACCCTAATATTTTCGTGTATCAACATTCATGAATATATATAGTGTATGTATTGGTCTAGGAACAGTCACATAGGTGAGGAAAACTGCTTATTAAAGTAAAAAAAATATACCGCTGTTTTTATTATATTAAAAGGCATATATTAAAACAAACATGACTATATCATGTCGAATGTATTGTAAAATGCAGTTATTTAATGAACAAACAATTCAAAATAAATTCGTCTTATGGGGATAAGTGCTTTTCAAATATTTTACACTGCATACCACCTTTGAAAAACCTTTGCTACCAAAGTATCCAGAGTACTACTATAGTTCCAAACAGACAAGCTAGATTACAAAACCATGAACTATCACTACAATTGAAATGCATATGAAAACAAATCAATTTATTACATTTTATGCCATAAGGAAGCACAAGTCCCATCAGTGGTACATGTACCATAGTTTGAGAACCACTGGTATAGGATTTGTGGCTGCATATAATAAAATCCTAAAATATACACTCCCTCAAAACTTAAATAAGGTAATCTTTTTTTAAAACGAGTTTGATCCTTCAAAAAATGCTGCTGGATACATTTCAGTTTTTTGTTAATGTTGTAGTCTACAGCATTCTATGTGTAAACACTGAGCTGTTGGATCCTCAACTGGTGACTATGGAGGGCATTTACTAAGTGTGGTGAACACATCATAATGTCAACAAACAGTTTAAGTGGATTAAAGCTTTTATCCTACTGTGAGTAGCCATTAGAAGATGGGTTGAATGTGGTCATAAAATCAGAGCATAGTCATAAACAGTAGCCAGGTTGACTGCTCCTTTAGTATCTTAATGTTCTCATACCAACATCCTGGTGTTGCAAAACACTTCTCAGACCAGACAGTGTTTTCCAGTCGTCTGTTGTCTTGAGTTAATGTGGCCTCACCTTGCAGTTTTCAGTTAACAGGAGTGGCATCTAATGCGGTCTTTTGTTGTTTACCCTGGGGGTGTGCAGGTATAATTATCCCAGTAGATCAACAGTTATTAAAAAAAAACAACAACTCGTGGCTGTCCATCTTTGACACAAGCAGCCATGACACATTTAGGTCATTTTTAAAAACATTTTTCCATTCTTAACGACCCTGAATATAAATAAACTGCCTACATGCTGTAAATTGCTGCATTGTTGGCTACATTACCTTAAAAGAACAAAGGAAATTTAGGGAAGTATGCCATAAGGTAAAATTTCAACTTCAATGTTTTATGGTTTAATAATTATACACTTACTTTGAGTGGGATGGTTACAATATTGATAACATTACATTTTTAACCAGAAAATGTGCAAAATTATTGTAGATACTAACAGTAAATAAAAAATTAAATATGGGGGATTCAATATGCTTGAAGCTTAAGAAAGTATTTGATAATTTTTTCTTTATATTAGAAACTTCAGAGAGTTTCTGTCTAGATGTGCTGGTGTCTTTGCTGCGCCAGGAAAATGCTGTGGACATCTGTGTGATCAAAGTTCCAGACCAGATCAAATATGCACAGTATTTTATTGTCACTAGTGGAATTTCAACTCGACACATCCGTGCAATGGCACTTTATGCCATCAAAGTGGTAACATTCCATTTTTATTTGAATACAAATATTTATACAAAGTGTGCACAGTGTCTGTGATTTTAAATATACACCCATTGATTTTTTTTCCTATAGTACAAGTTCATGAAGAAAAAGGAAGATCCAAATGTAAAATTAGAAGGAAAAGACTCAGAAGATTGGATCTGTGTTGACTTTGGTATTTAAAAAACTTGTCTTTAAAGTAGTGGTTGTGTATTTTAACTGCTGGTAATATACTCACTGATACTGTTGATTTATCTCCACTTCAGGTGATATTGTTGTTCACTTAATGCTGCCAGAGACCAGAGACATTTATGAACTGGAGAAACTCTGGACTCTACGCAGTTATGATGAACAACTGATGAACATGCCTGAAGAGAAGCTTCCTGAAGATTTCATAGCCGAAGTGGACATAACAAAGTGACAATCCAACACATGTAATTTTGTTCACGGACTTTGCACCGCACACCAATGAGCGTATCAAGTGTCTGCATAACATTTCTTTGTTTTGGAATCTTTTTATTAGCACTTGGAGTGTTGAACACCACATTATTAACGCTTGTTGATCTGTAGAGTTATAGTCCCTCCTAACAAATGATCATGATGCTGTTTTAACTTTCCATGTTGTTGAAAATAAATTATTTTTATAAAGTTAAAGAACGTTTAAAATAGCCTTTTTCACTTTTGTTTAAGAGACAGTCGAGATGATGAATTTACATATATATATATATATATATATATAAACTATTGTTTTATTTTTCCACTTATATTCATGTTTTTTGTCACCTTTTTTCAATAACTCATACCACATTATTGTGAAGTAGTGTCTTGTCATGCTAATATATTTATGAGACTATTGGTTCCGAAACTATCTTCTATTAGTTAAATGGAATACGAATGGGTATTTTTTAAACTTCTTCATTTTAAAGATATAAATGTCATGACAATGTGCCAAAGCTGCCATTTGTACGTGGACAAAGCTACTTCAACTGTATGATATGGACATGGAAATAACTATGTGGCATGAAATAACATGTGTTTATGTGTGAATGTTGCCAGTATTAACTTTATCCCTGTTCAACAACGCCTATATGATGACAGACTTCTGTTAAAGATGACACATCAACACATTGATTTGTACTGCTGCTGACGACAGGTTGTGGTGAAATCAATGGGAGGAAAAGTTTCGGTAATGTGATCTAATCTCTAACCATTATGTTCACAAAAAACTGTTGAATGAATGGGTCATTTACCATCTGCTGTGGTTTATTTCTTATATTATTATAGCTTTGCCCCAACGTGTAGATGGAGCTGTGCATGAGTTCACACATCACAGAACATGAATTGCATTCGGTGTCAATAGTGTAAGTCAGTGTGTGTGGACCGGGGGCTGACTGAGAAAAGGGGCGCTGACAGACGCACCGTGCTCCCAGCAATTACACTATCAAGTGTGTTTGGAAAAACTTTGAAATGGAGGAAACGGAGGCATCGTAACTGGACGACGCTCATCTAACAAGGTATCGTATATTACCTTTATC